GACTAAAGGCGTCCCGAAACAAGTGAAGGCAAGACAAAACATGGACTAAAGACGTCCCAAAACAAGTGAAGACAAGACAAAACATGGACTAAAGATGTCCCGAAACAAGTGAAGGCAAGACAAAACATGGACTAAAGACGTCCCAAAACAAGTGAAGACAAGACAAAACATGGATTAAAGATTTCCCAAAACAAGTGAAGGCAAGACAAAACATGGACTAAAGACATCCTGAAGCAAGTGAAGACAAGACAAAATATGGACTAAAACGTCCTGAAGCAAGTGATGACAAGACAAAACATGGACTAAAGATGTCCTGAAGCAAGTGAAGACAAGACAAAACATGGACTAAAGACGTCCTGAAGCAAGTGAAGACAAGACAAAACATGGACTAAAGACGTCCCAAAACAAGTGAAGACAAGACAAAACATGGACTAAAGACATCCTGAAGCAAGTGAAGACAAGACAAAACATGGACTAAAGATATCCTGAAGCAAGTGAAGACAAGACAAAACATGGACTAAAGACGTCCTGAAGCAAGTGAAGACAAGACAAAACATGGACTAAAGACGTCCCAAAACAAGTGAAGACGAGACAAAACATGGACTAAAGACATCCTGAAGCAAGTGAAGATGAGACAAAACATGGACTAAAGACGTCCTGAAACAAGTGAAGACAAGACAAAACATGGACTAAAGACGTCCTGAAACAAGTGAAGACAAGACAAAACGTGGACTAAAGACGTCCTGAAGCCTGTGAAGATAAGAAATGTGGACTAAAGACGTCCTAACGGTTTCAAACCACAACACTGCGGCATGAAAACCTCCCAGTAAGTTGATGATACTACCTGCCATGGACATTGTCCTGGAAGACAGTCCTCTCCGTTTACAATGCGAGAATGTTCGCTTCTTTTAGCAACAACAGGTTTTTCAGTAATTAGGTTACCAGCCAAGGTCTGGCTCCTTGTTGCAGGTGAGGACTGATCAGCCAAGTTATGAACTTCCTGATGGTCCTCTGTGGAGTTTCTGTTCGCCGTCAGCTCTGTGACATTTGTTTCTATGATGTTTGTCTCTGTGGTGTTTGTCTGTGAGATGTTCGGTCGCTCATATCTTTCAATTGTCCGGATGATGTTGGATATGATGG